GGTTATAAAACAGCAGGGTATGGAGTTCTTCAAACCTGGAGCAGGCCAGTAGCAGCCAGATGGCTGACAGCTGAAGAATGGCTTGCCAGTGCTTAGTGCAGGCATCCAAGTGTTTGGTGGAGGGGGGTATGTGGGCTTGGCTGTGTAGAAGGTGTTTCTCTGACAGCCCCACAATTGACCCTGCTGTGGGAAAACTCGGCTGAGATGAAACACTGAAAGCAGAGCGTTTCCCCCTTGTGAGCCTCCAGCACTAGGAATTTTTGATTAATCTCTGACGAGGCTTTGCCAGCTCTGCCTGCATGTGTTCTCAGTGTCACTGGTGGTTCAGAGTCCACGGGGCAGCTGTTACCAGCATCAGTCCTACTCAAAGAGAGTGCTGTCCTGACTGAATGGTTTTCTTTTTCCTTGTAAGATCTGAGGCTGCACGGGGGCCTGCTTGCTGTTGCGCTGCTTGGAGGTATTTGGGGAGGACAGGAGTGTTGGGTTGAGTGCTACTGCCAGTGCTGACTTCCCCTTGAGCAGCTGTTCACAAAGGACTCTGGGGCCTGTGGGAGGGTCCCTGAAACGGGTACTTTGCACCTAGAAAGGGGAGCATACAACCAGTGATGTGTGGGTCTTGTTGTCTTGTCTTGCAGCGCAAAGGAAAGAGGTGCAAGCCCGGGCAGTGTTCTACCCACTGATGGGCTTGGGGGGCGCAGTGAACATGTGCTACAGGACGCTCTACATCGGGACAGGTCAGTGGCATCTCACAGCTGGGTGGGTGGGGAGCCAGGGGAGGGGATGCAGCATGTTCTACCAGGGTTTTCTCTAAATGTGTAAAACCAGCAGCAGTGCCTGCACTAAAGCTTACCCCACGGAGCTGAAGTGGTTCCCTGGGAAATGCCGTGGTGGAGCTGTTCATTTTGTGCTGGAGCTTTGCAGTGAAGTTTTTCTTTGTGTTACCAAGAAATCAATGCAAGGCAGGCACCCTTCGGAGCTCCCTGTCCTAACTAGCACGGTCATGGGCCTGTAGCCCTATGTTTTATAAGCCACCATTTCAGGGTGGGACGAGCATCCTGCTCGATATCAAGAGGTCAGGATTTAGCATGAAATGGCTGTGGGCCTCCTTGGTTCCGGCTGGTGGCAGAGGAAGAAGTTTCATAACTGTACTAGGGCTTTGCTGCTCTTCCCTCTGCCAGGGCCCCCAGCACTCTGGGTGGGGTGAGTGATCCTAACGAATGGTGTTTCTTTCCACCTTCCCCTGCGCGATGCAGCAGCTGCTTCCCCCACCCCTGAACTGGCTTGCAGCAGCAGAATTCATGCAGTCCTGGGAACAGAGGCAAAGGCAGAGACTCCCCTGTCCTTCCGCCCTTTGAGGTTCAGTTCAGTCTCTTGCTCCGTGCTGCCTGTGACAGCTTTCCTGAATTGAACTGGCCCCATGTTCTGTCTTCCCTATGGGCAGGAGCTGACATGGACGTGTGCCTTACGAGCTATGGTCACTGCAACTACGTGTCCGGCAAACATGCCTGCATATTCTACGACGAGGTGAGTGCCCAAGCCCTGTGGTGCGAGCCTCAGAGGGAGGGCAGCAGTCTGTCCTTGTGCACAGTTCCTCGGCAGGCCGCAGAGCAAGTGTTGTGGTTGTGAGTGGCTTTCTGAGAGGAAAGGCTGTCAAGTTGGCAGGGAGGTGGGGCTCCTTTTCTGCAGGGAACCAGGCAGGGTCCCCCTGGTGCTGCTGAGCACCGTCTCCCCCAGGGGGTGCTGCAGTCAAGGCTGTGGTGTAAAACCGCCTGTTCCAGGCCCAGGGTGATTGCACTTGCTCAGAGCTGGCGCCTGACCTCGGTCTCAGTTTGTCGGTGTCTAACAGCTTCCAGCCCTTCCCTCTGGTTCCGCTGGGTCTGCCAGACTGGAGAGACCCCAGCTATTACACTGCCCTCCTGCCTGCGCACACTCAGCTCTTGGACAAAACACACGGATTGAGCCACTGGTCTTTTGCCCAAGGCCAGTTTCCCTGAGCTCCGGAGCGTGGTGGCAGCTCAGACGAAGCAAAGAAGATTCAGTGTCCTCTTGGCTTCCAGAATCAGGCACAGTCACATCCCCCTGCAAACGGCATTGCGGTGCGACTAGCCCTGCCCTGCATCTCAGCTAGCCTGCTGTGACCCCTAACTCGCCGTCGCACAGCTAGAGCCACCACTTCCTAACACCCAGCAAGTGCGCCCTGCCTTCTCTGTCCCTGAACACGTGACCTTTCGTTGCATTGTTAGAATTCACTTAGAGGGTTGGTTACTGTCTCCTCAGCTGCCATCTCCAAAAGGAATTTTAATTTTCTCCCAAACAGGCCAGCTAGCACTGGGCTGGAAAGTGTTCTCACGAGAGAACGATTCCTTTGTGGAATCTAAATCCAGTAGCCAGACTGAATTCCCCTTGGCGTGCACGGATGAAACCCTGCACTTTGCTGGCTATTTCTGTTAATGTTCTACTCTGCTGGATCCCCTCAAACCCCTGCGTCCAGCTACAGACCTATAGTTTCATAGTTGGTCGGGTCGGAAGGGACCTGAGCAGATCATCGAGTCTGACCCCCTGCCATGGCAGGAAAAAGTACTGGGGTCAAATGACCCTGGCAAGGTGTTCATCCAGCCTCCTCTTAAAGACCCTCCGGGTAAGAGCCCGCACCCCTTCTCTTGGAAGTTGGTTCCAGATCCTAGCTGCCCTGACCGTGAAGTAGCGCCTCGTGATATCTAGTCTGACCAGCCCAGGGGCCTTTCTTCACGTTACATGCTTTTTTCTGCTTGTTTGTTGTCTGTCTTGGTCGAGGAGCACTGGGGCAGGGGCTGACTGGCACCCAAAAGCCAGTACAGGACGGCTCATCCCTGGAACTATCCCTGGGAGATTTGCCTCTGCACTGTTGGTCGGGTGGCTGGTGGCTGTTTCTCCGGCTGCCTGTAGGTGTTCTGTGCTGCAGGCACCACGTGCTCAGTAGCAGGGAGACTCAGTTTTGCTGTGATCTCCTTAGTGGGTGGGTGGCCTGGGCAGGTGCCGCGCAACTTGCCCCTGACCTAAGGTTGCAGAGCCCACGGTGGGAATGGTTCTCACATGAAGTGTGTGCAGAGCAGTCTGGGCCACACGTGCACAGTCTGCTGCCTGCCACTGCCTGAAGCAGTGGCTTGGCACCTGGAACAAGCAGAGCCTTGGTGGGTCCTTCCCCCACCCACACATCAGCCTGGCCAAGCGGGGCGTTGCGGGGGTGACGCATGCCCTCCTCTTCCCTTCCAGAACACGAAGCATTACGAGCTGCTGAACTACAGCGAGCATGGGACGACGGTGGACAACGTCCTGTACTCCTGCGACTTCTCGGAGAAGACAACGCCCACCCCCCCCAGCAGCATTGTTGCCAAAGTGCAGAGCGTGATAAGTAAGTTGGGGCAGAGCTGGCCCCTCTGCCTAGCCTGTGCTTACAGGCAGCTTCCGTCCAGTTTCCTTACAGTGCTCCGCTGGCTTCCCACAGCTCGGCAGTGGCCGCTGCTGCTCCATTCCCTCAGTCTGCAGAGCTCTCTGCAGCAGTGAGCCCAGCCTCTGGGGCTGTTAACCTGAGCTCTGGTTCCCTCGCGCTCCTGGCCCTCTCCAGAAAGCTTCAGGTTTTGAGTTGGGTCCTGGCGGGCTGCATCCACACATGCTTTCCCTCCACTTCTGGTCTGCGACTCGGGCGTGGGTGCAGCTGAGCAATTCCTCTTCCCCTGTACTAGGGCCGGACGCTTCTCCAGTGGCTCGCAGCGGCCTGGTGGACGGAAGGAGCATTGTCTTCTCTGTACGGCGGAGCGAGACGAGCCTCCAGCAGGAGCGCGGTGCTGGGCCTGCTCACCGCGGCTTTCCTGACTTGTGCTTCTCTTCTAGGGCGCCACAAAAGCAGGAAGCAGGAAGAGGAGCCGCACGAAGATGCTGCCGTGATGAACTCGCAGGCGCAGGGGCAGCACCGCAAGCCCTGCAACTGCAAGGCCAGCAGCTCCAGCTTGATTGGGGGTAGTGGGGCAGGCTGGGAGGGCACGGCCTTGCTCCATCACGGCAGTTACATCAAGCTGGGCTGCCTGCAGTTCGTCTTCAGCATCACCGAGTTCGCGACCAAACAGCCCAAGGGGGATGCGGCCTTAGCACAAGACACAGACTTGGAGGAGAAGCTCCCCCTGAAGCCCCACCAGGTGCCCGTGCTGCGCTCCAACTCCGTTCCCTAGGAGCCCGGGCCGGGGCCCTGCGCCGCGGCAGGGGCCTTGCCGGAGACTCTTGCAATGCAAACATGTACAAACCCTGCGGGGATTTTCTACGCCGGCCCAGGAACCGTTCACGCCGTTTGCATGAGATGAAGAACGTTTCACTTTTTTTAATTATTTTCTTTTTTTGCTCAAGTTTTCGGGGCATTTGCACATATATTTGTACTATACATTTCATTTTAAAAGGAAAACTGCAGCGAGGCGAGGAGCAGGGGCTGTGGCCCTGCCCGGCCCCCTCCGCCAGGCCCTTCCCGCGCAATTGTAAAATAATCAGAAACTTGTTCTATTTTGTGCCAGTGACAATAGTTTTATATTAAAAGAGAAAAATACAGTTTTCATACAGCAAATCTATACAATATCATTGTTTTATTTAATGTAAAGAAGCGCTATACTCCCCCACAGGCCTCCTCCCCCCCACCCCCCTGCTGTGGTTGCACTACAAGTTGCTACTGTGTATTATGGGCAATGAGAAACGAGTTCTTTTCCTGGCGTCCCCCCTCTCTTTGCATAAGGAAAGTATTGGATTCTGTGTAAATACATCCGTGACGGCATTTTTCAATGTTTTTAAAGCTGTGTACAGTGCTCCATGTGGGATGACGTTGCCTCCGATTTGTCTATTGTAGCAGATTGTCTGTCGTAAGCCTGTCTGTCTCTTCCGTTCGCCCCGCCCCCGACAGCTAGCTCCGATGTACATAGTCATTGTAATGTTTTAGACTTTACAGAAACTTTCCTGTATTCTGTATATAAAAAGCAAAATACTTCCCAGTCTGTTTCCTGCCTGTCTGTCCTCACTCTGTGAACAGCGCTGAGGAGCCCGGAGGAGGGCCCGGCCCGGCACCCAGGCACGCAGGGCTGGAGCGGGGGAGAAGGCAGGAAGCGTCCGAGGAGCCGGCCCCTAGGCCTCGTCGCTGTGGCCGTGCGCCGCGTCCTCGAGGGCCCCGGGCGGCTCCTTCCAGTCCTGCCGGGGCCGCGGCAGCATCCGCGGGGCGGGGCGGGGCGGGGCGGAGCCAGC